ATATTATCAGAAAGGTTAAAGGTCGTCCAATGAGTTCAGCTATTTTTAGAGAACTAAATATTTTGAGATACTGACAGATGTTTTGATTTTCTGAGCAAAAACTTAATATACTGAAGAGGATAAACTGTTCAGGTGAAACAAATAGTGTGTGTGTGTGTGAGTGTGAGTGTGAGAGAGTGAGTGAGTGAGTGCGAGTGTGTTACCTGGATGTGTACTCCATCGACAGCACTGCTGATGGAGTCCAAGGAGGGAACATGTCTCACTGATCCAGACTGATACATACTGCAAAAACATAAACAAAAAAATAGCTCACTAAAAATGTTGTAATTAAAATACACACGGGTGATCTGTTAAAACTGTGCACAAAGATCACGAATTATTCTTAACTGTTAAGTTTCACGTTTACAGCTTTTAGAGACGCGCTTTCAGTTTTACTAGCAACAACTTTTTCACTAGTCGTGTTAAGAAACAAACACGTTTGGCTGCAAAACGTTGAATAAAAGAAGAAATGAAGTGTCATGAGTAACCAGCTGTGGTGTGTGTGTGTGTTACCTGCTGATGCTGCTCTTCCTAGACAGAGTGTTACTGGGAGAAGCTGGAGGAGTCTGATAGCTGTAGTTGAAATCAGAACCCTTCAGGTCCAAAATCACCTGAGAAACAAGAAATAAAACACAAATAACGTGAATAAATGTTTCTCTGCCCCTCAATACTTCCTGTTCCCAAAACCCAAAGATTCCCACTGAAGACTTTAATCTTCAGAACAGTTTCATTTATCTAGTGTTTAATCAAACAGGAGGAGGTAGTGCATTTGTTGGGGGACTATTTTCAGCGGCGGATTAATCCACATTTAGTTTTTTTTAATAGTTTTTGGATGAACTAAGAACATATTTGTTTGCGAGATAAAATAAGTACCAGTAGTGGTACTAAAGTTGTAATATTTGGCCAGAGGGTGGCGCTAGAGGAATAGGAAGAAGAAGAGAAAGGGGAAGAGGAAGAGGAAGGTACCTGCTCGCTGGCTGGTGGGAGTTTATTGGGCTCAGCTGTCAGGTTGGTCAGATCTTCCAGAATGGTCTGCAGGTGAGTCACCTCACCCAGCATGTTGATCTCATGGTCCTACACACACACACACACACACACACATTCATGATTATTCTGGTTAAACAGACTTTAAAGGCCACACACCCACACACCCACACACACACACACACACACACACACACACACACACACACTGACCAGTACGGGCTTCAGCATGCTGACGAAGCTGCAGTAGCGCGCCCTTTCCTCTATCAGCGCTCTGCACACGGCCCTCTTCTCCGTCTCCTCCAGGACGGCGTAGCGCACGTTGACGTCCTGCAGCGCGCTGTCCAGCTGGCCGCGCACCTCGTCCTTCCCTACAGAGAGAGAGAGTAAAGAGCAACCACTCGTCAAGGACGCTCTAGTAAAGCGAACGCACCTGCAGCGAGGCAGAACGCTACACCTGGTCATTCTATTGGTTATTGCACAAACACAATCCAAGAGCAGAGGAGGAATCTGAGTACACAGAAGAAGTGTGAGGAGAAGGGATGAGGAGAGGAACACACGCACGGCTGTAATACTCAGATCCTACCAGCAGGGATCAGCGCACACGCGCGCGCGC